CTGAGGTAGACCCAGACTCCCATTTCCCATCTAAGCATACCCCTCCCCTCTTCAAACCTCCTGAAACGTCATTTTTACACATGACAAGCTTTCTTAGAGGGGCCTGGTAATGCAGCCAGGGCCCTCCAATAAGTTTAGAGGGGAAATGGGGGGCTATCATGCTCCCCTGGGGTCTTAGAGCCTGAAGAACCTGGATGGCAATGGGGATTTGCCCTCAAGATCATGGAAGACAGTCCCAAGCATTGATCCCCACAGGCCCAACACCTCAAAACATCTGGACCTTACAGTAAGGTCCAGATATTTTTTAAAAAATCTGGGGAAATCCCAGTTTACTGTAGATTAATCTGGGTTATCCTGAGGCATCATTTGGATGTCTAAGATTCATCCAGAACCCATCACGGGTTTTGGACCTGTCTGGAAGGGCCCTAAGTAGTAAGAAATGCACTTTAGAATCACACAAACTAGAATACATTTCACACATTGGGCAGAGGAGGGAAAGGCAAAACATACTGAAATTGAAATTGAATCCAGACAAGACAGAGGTACTCCTGGTCAGTCGCAAGGCCGAACAGGGTACAGGGTTACAGCCTGTGTTAGACGGGGTCGCACTCCCCCTGAAGACACAGGTTCGCAGCTTGGGTGTGATCCTGGACTCATTGCTGAGCCTGGATCCCCAGGTTTTGGCGGTGACCAGGGGAGCATTCGCACAGTTAAAACTCGTGCGCCAACTGCGACCGTACCTTGGGAAGTCTGACTTGGCCACGGTAGTCCACGCTCTGGTTACATCCCGTCTTGACTACTGCAACGCTCTCTACGTGGGGTTGCCTTTGAAGACGGCTCGGAAGCTCCAATTAGTCCAACGGGCGGCTGCCATGGTACTAACAGGAGCGGGGCGCAGGGAGCATACAACTCCTCTGCTGTACCAGCTCCACTGGCTGCCGATTTGCTACTGGGCCCAATTCAAAGTGCTGGCGTTGGCCTTTTAAGCCCTAAACGGTTCTGGCCCAACTTATCTATCCGAACGTATCTCAGCCTATCAGCCCACCAGGACCCTAAGATCTTCTGGGGAGTCCCTGCTCTCTATCCCGCCGGCTTCACAAGTGCGGCTGGTGGGAACGAGAGACAGGGCCTTTTCTGTGGTGGCCCCTCGGCTTTGGAACACCCTCCCCATAGAGGTACGATCAGCCCCTTCGCTGATGGTGTTTCGGAAAAGATTGAAGACATGGATGTTTAAACAAGCATTCGGTTAATCCGTTGCAACGAATTTTGATGACTAAAGGATTGGTAATCATGGACGATGAATTTTGGATTGCGATTCCAGTTACGAGATGCATGGGATTATTATTGGTGGCCCAATAATTTGTATTGTATATGTGTTTTATGCTTTTAACTGAATATTGTTTTTTAAATGTTGTAAACCGTAATGAGTCGCCGATTTAGGCTGAGATATTAGCGGTATACAAGTGCATTAATAAATAAATAATAAATAAATAAATTACCTGGGAAGGAATCCCACTGGAGCATTGCAGCGCACCCAAATACCTGGGAGTCACTCTGGACCGTGCTACAAGAAGCACTGCCTGAACATCAAGCAAAAAGTGGGCGCTAGAAACAATATCCTAGCCGGTATACTAGCCGGTATTGCACCACCTGACATCCGCCGGGAAGTAGCAGTCAACAGTGAAACGACCAAGGCAGAGACATCTCCAGCCCATCCCTTGTTTGGGCATCAGCCAGCACGCCAACGACTTAAATCAAGAAATAGTTTTCTTAGGTCTACAGAGACACTCGCTGGAACACATCAGCAAGTGAGAGTCCAAAAGTGGCAGGCTCAAACCAAGCACCTCAATCCGTGGGTGATACCAGATGAGAGACTCCCCCCCCGGGCACACAGAAGACTGGGCGACTTGGAAGGTGCTGAACAGACTGCGCTCTGGCACCATGAGATGTAGAGCCAATCTTAAGAAATGGGGCTACAAAGTGGAATCCACAACATGCGAGTGTGGAGAGGAGCAAACCACTGACCACCTGCTGCAATGCACCCTGAGTCCTGCCACATGCACGATGGAGGACCTTCTTGCGGCAACACCAGAGGCACTCCAAGGGGCCAGATACTGGTCAAAGGACATTTAATCAGCTACCAAGTTTGCAAAATGTGTGTGTTTTTTTTAATCTGTTTGTTTGCTTTGTTCTGTTAGAAATGCGGTACAGTGTTCTGGTTGCGGATGACACGATAAATAAATATAGATTGGTGATAGGTTTTACATAATGTTGATGGTTTTAACTATAATCTGACCACCCTGAGCAGCAGCAGCAGCAGCAGCAACAACAACAACAACAACAACAACAACATAATAATAATAATAATAATAATAATAATAATAATAATAATAATAATAATAAATAACTTAGAAAAAGAGACAGAGGGCCTGATTCTGACAGCCCAAGAACAAGCCATTAGATCGGGGGTCCACAAACTTTTTAAACAGAGGGCCAGGTCACAGTCCCTCAAACTGTTGGAGGGCCGGATTATAATTTGGAAAAACAATTAATGAATTCCTAGGCACACTACACATATCTTATTTGTAGTGCAAAAAATACTTAAAAACAATACAATAATTAACATGAATAACAGTTTTAAGAAATATAATTTAACTGATTTACGAGGCCATAAAAATCTCCAGGAAGTATGCAAAGAATGAGGAAGTACTTCATCAAAGTCACAAATGGACGGTGAAGCGACAGCTCCCCTGGTGGCCAGAAGTTAGAATGTTAAATAGTCTCTGTGTCTATATATGTTGTGTGTCTATGGCATTGAATGTTTGCCATGTATATGTACACTGTAATCTGCCCTGAGACCCCTGTGGGGTGGGAAGGGTGGAATATAAATACTGTAAATTAATAATAAATAAATAATAAATAAACTTATTAGTATTTTAATGGGAAATGTGGGCCTACTTTTGGCTGATGAGATAGGATTGTTGTTGTTGTTGTTGTTGTGCGCTTTCAAGTTGTTTCAGGCTTAGGTTGACCCTGAGCAAGGGCCAAGTAAATGACCTTGGAGGGCCGTATCCAGCCCCTGGGCCTTAGTTTGAGGACCCCTGCATTAGATCAAATGCCATCAAAGACAGAAATGAAAATTCGATAACAGATCCCAAATGTAGACTCTGCAAGGAAGCAGATGAAACAATAAATCCCATCCTCAGCTGCTGCAAGAAGATCGCACAGACAGACTACAAGCAGAGGCACAACACCACTGCTCAGATGCTTAATTGGAACTTGTGCCACAAATCCCATCTGCCTGCGACAAAGAACTGGTGGGATCACAAGCCTGAAAAAGTTACAGAAAATGAGCATGTCAAAGTACTCTGGGACTTCCGGATTCAAACAGACAGAGTTTTGGAGCAGAAGACTCCTGACCTCAAAAGTGTGTTAAAAAACAAGGTATGGATTGTTGATGTTGCAATCCCAGGCAGCAGGATTGCAGAGAAACAACTGGAAAAGCTGACACGATATGAGGATTTAAAGATCGAACTGCAAAGACTCTGGCACAAGCCAGTCAAGGTGGTCCCAGTGGTGATCGGCACACTGGGTGCAGTGCCTAAAGACCTTGGCCTGCACTTAAACACAATTGGCACTGACAAGATTACCACCTGCCAGCTGCAAAAGGCCACCTTACTGGGACCTGCACGCATGATTCGCCGATACATCACATAGTCCTAGAGACTTGGGAAGGGTCCGACGTGTAATACAAAACAACAGCCAGCAGAGTGATTTTGTTTGCTGTGGACTCATCTTGTTGTGTTTCAAATAATAATAATAATAATAATAATAATAATAATAATAATAATAATAATAATTCGCGCATCATTCGAAAATACATCACACAGTCCTAGACACTTGGGAAGTGTTCGACTTGTGATTTTGTGATATGGAATCCAGCATATAGATCTCGTTTGATGTGACATACTGTGCCTTTGTGTCAATAATAATAATAATAATAATAATAATAATATCCAGCATATAGATCTCGTTTGCTGTGACATATTGTGTTTTTGTGTCAGTAATAATAATAAAAATAACAATAACAATAATAATATAAATTATTAATTTATTGTGTTGTCGAAGGTTTTCATGGCCGGAAACACTGGGTTGCTGTGAGCTTTCCAGGCTGTCTGGCCATTCTCCAGAAGCATTCTCTCCTGATGTTTCACCCACATCTATGGCAGGCATCCTCAGAGGTTGAAGGGTCTGTTGTAAACTAGGCAACTGAGATTTATCTATCTGTGGAATAATGTCCAGGGTGGGAGAAAGAACTCTTGTCTGTTTGAGGCAAGTGTGGATGTTGCCATTGGCCACTTTGATTAGCATTGCAGCTTCAAAGCCTGGCTGCTCCCTGCTTGGGGGAATCCTCTGTTGGGAGGTGTTAGCTGGCCCTGATTGTTTCCTGTCTGGAATTCCCATGTTTTTTGAGGGCTGTTCTTTATTTGCTAGCCTGATTTTAGAGTTTTTTTAATACAGTAGAGTCTCGCTTATCCGACCTTCTCTTATCCGACATTCCGCCTTATCCGACGCTCTTATCCTTTTCCTCCAGCATTTCCCCTTCAGTTAAAGGAGTGCTGCCCAACTATCTCCCCATTCCCAATAAGTGAAAAAGGCAAGACAAGGAGGAAGAGGGAGGAAAGGGAGGAAGGAGGCAGGACCGGAAGCGGAAGTGTCCTCCCTCCTTCCTTCTGTGATTTCCACGCTCCTCTTCCGCATCCGGGCACTTCCTGCTGGGCCCCTCTAGCCCCGGGGCGTTGCCTTGCCTTAACTCTTTGAGTCCCTGTTGTTAGTTTTCTACGTGTCTAGCACGTAGGACAGGTAATATGTTATCCAACATTTTGTTGATCCGATGTTCTGCTGGTCCATTGATGTCGGATAAGCGAGACTCTACTGGGAGCCAGAGTTTGTTCATTTTCATGGTTTCCTCCTTTCCGTTGAAATTGTCCATTTGCTTGACCACTCTAACAACCACCGTGTCATACTACACGGAAAATCCACTGAAATTCACAAGAATCTGGACAATCTCAGTCATCTTTCAGTTCGAAGAGGGGTCTGGCTTTGGGATCCTTATCCGGCTTCCACGGCTTGTCCACCCGCAGCCGGAGCGTGTTCCGGATCACCATGCGCTCCAGCAAAAGGGCGCTCACGAACCAGATCAGGGCGTGCTCCAACGCAATGAGGCCCATGAAGTTGTAATGGAAGTTGGAGAAATCCCAAGGGCACGCGCCAAAGAGCTGGAGGAAATAACCGACGCAGAACTGCCAGAAGAAGATGCAGAAGGTGTAAAGGGTGGAGCGGGTGAGCAGGCAGCAGTCGCCCCGCAAGGCCAGATGGATCTGCTCCAAGGTCAACGCGCAGGCTCCATAGAGGAGGAAGGAGCCCAGGACCGATACCCAGCGGAAGGTCCATTCGTGGCCCAGGATGAGAACTGTGAAGAGGATCTCCAGGAAGGAGACGTGGACCGCATAGATGTATCCCCGGAGCAAGATGGGCAGCGGCTCCATGGGTCAGGACCTGTGGAAACAGAACCAGAATTTGAATCCATCTTTGCCTGCGAAGTGTCTAGCTTTGGATCTGCGGCTCTTGGTTGACTTGGCAGATCCATTTCTGTTACATCTTTTGTAAAGTTAGTGGCTCTTCGTTGACTTGGCAAAGCCATCTCTACTAAGAGCAGGTCTTTTGTAAAGTTAATGGCCAGCTCTTGTATGACTTCAAAAAATCCATCTCTATGAAGTTGCTTTCTCATATTAGACCAGGCATGGGCCAACTTGGGCCCTCCAGGTGTTTTGGACTTCAACTCCCATCATTCCTAACAATTCAAGGATGGTGGGCACTGCAATCCAACCTCATCCTGATCCCATATTAGATGGACTCCCATTGCCAACATGGCTTATGTTCAAGGATGATGGGAACTGCAGTCCAACCTCTTCTAGAGGAAGTCTCCTTCTCATGTTAGATGGACTCCAATCCCAATCTAAGCTTGACTTATGTTTAAGGATGATGGGAACTGCAGTCCAACCTCATCTGGAGGAAGTCCTGATCCCATATTAGATGGACTCCCATTGCCAACATGACTTATGTTCAAGGATGATGGGAACTGCAGTCCAACCTCTTCTAGAGGAAGTCCCCTTCTCATGTTAGATGGACTCCAATCTCAATCTAAGCTTGACTTATGTTCAAAGATGATCGTCATCATCATCATAATTTAATTACTTATTAATCGCCCTCCATCCAAGATGCTCTAGGCGATTTACAAGCTAAAATTGTAAAGGATAAAAATACATGCATACAGATATTGATAAAATATTGATTTATCAGATATTGATGATGGGAACTGCAGTCCCACCTCTTCTAGAGAAAGTCTCCTTCTCATGTTAGATGGACTCCAATCCCAATCTAAGCTTGACTTATGTTCAAGGATGATGTGAATTGCAGTCCAACCTCTTCTAGAGGACGTCTCCTTCTCATGTTAGATGGACCCCAATTCCAATCTAAATGTGACGTATGTTCAAGGATGATGGGAACTGTAGTCCAACATCTTCTAGAGGAAGTCTCATTCTCATGTTAGATGGACTCCAATTCCAAGCTAAACATGACTTATGTTCAAGGACGATTGGAACTACAGTCCAACCTCTTCTAGAGGAAGTCTCCTGATGTTAGATGGACTCCAATTCCAATCTAAACATGACTTATGTTCAAGGATGATGGGAACTGCAGTCCAACCTCATCTGTAGGAAGTCCCAATCCCATATTAGATGGAATCCCATTGCCAACATGACTTATGTTCAAGGATGATGGGAACTGCAGTTCAACCTCTTCTAGAGGAAGTCTCCTTCTCATGATAGACGGAATCCAATTCTAATCTAAATATGACTTTTGTTGAGGGGTGATGGGAACTGCAGTCCAACCACCTCTGTGGGGAGTCTCATTGTCATGTTAAATGGTCTCTCATTTCTATCATCCCTCATCATGATGATGGGAACTGTAGTCCAACCACATCTGGAGGAAGTCTGATTTCCATGTTAGATAGACTCCCATTCCCAACATGATTTATGCTCAAGGATGATGGGAACTGCAGCACAAAAATGATGGGAGTTGCAGTCAAAAAAGAGACAAGCAACTTAACATATTATTATTGTTATTGTTGTTGTTATCTATATCCCACTTTATCTTTCTGAAAAGTCCAACCAATTCTGGAGGAAGTCCATTTCTCATCTCAGATGGACTCCCATTGCCAACATGACATGTTCAATAATGATGGGAGCTGCAGTTCCCAGAATCCATCTGTATCTCTGAATGATGGGATTACTCTTCTCCATTGGCTAGTTTGGGAAGGGCAGTCCAACCTCTTCTAGAAGAAGTTTCATTCTCATGTTAGATGGACTCCCATTGCCAACATGACTTATGTTCAAGGATGATGGGAACTGCAGTCCAACCTCTTCTAGAGGAAGTCTCTCATGTTAGATGGACTCCAATTCCAATCATATTCCCCATAACCATGATATGTTCAAGGATGATGGGAACTGCAGTCCAACCACTTCTGGAGGAAGTCCCATTCCCGTGTTGGATGGGCTCACATTCCCAACATGGCTTATGTTCAAGGATGATGGGAACTGCCGTCCAACCTCTTCTAGAGGAAGTTTCTCATGTTAGATGGACTCCAATTCCAATGATTTCCGCCATAACTATGACATGTTCAAGGATGATGGGAATTGTAGTCCAACCACTTCTGCAGGAAGTCCCATTCCTGTGTTAGATGGACTCCCATTCTAATCATTTCCCCCTTAAGCATGACTTACATTCAAGGATGATGGGAACTGCAGCCCAAAAATGATGGGAGTTGCACAACAGAGACTAGTAAATTTACTAATTATTATTGTGAGCAATATAATAATAACAACAACAACAACAACAACAACAGCAATAATAATAATAATCCACTTTATCTTTCTAGAAAAGTCCAACCACTTCTGGAGGAAGTCCCATTCCTGTGTTAGGTGGACTCCCATTGCCAACATGACTTTGTTCAAGGATGATGGGAACTGCAGTCCAGCTACCTTTAGAGGAAAACCCATTCTCATGTTAGATGGATTAAGATTACCATCATGACTTATACAACTGTTGCCCGGAAAATGATGGGACTTGTAGTCCAAAAAAATCATTATTGCTATTATTATTATTATTATTATTATTATTATTATTATTATTATTATTATTTACATCCCACTATTTACATCCCAACAAACCCAAATGCAGTTGGTCTTCCATGTTTGAGATTACCTTTAGATCAGCCATGGGCAAACTTGGGCCCTCCAGGTGTTTTGGACTCCAACTCCCACAATTCCTAACAGCCGGTAGGGTGTTAGGAATTGTGGGAGTTGGAGTCCAAATCACCTGGAGGGCCCAATTTGGCCCATGCCTGCTTTACATAGACTTCATGTGGGTCAACTTTCTCTAGCCGCTCCGTTGGACTCCCACACCCATCGTGCTGTAGTTGCAGACTGGGAATCAACCTTGGTAAACCAGTTTAGGATTGCCGTGTGTTGAAACAGGATTCTCTGCATTTCTTCCTCCAGGTCTGTCATTTACATGAATGGAAGAAGAGCTTTGCTGGAGGAGGAGGAGGCCATACATATTCTTCAGCTGCCAGCAAGTCCCTGGGAATTTGCTGTTATGGACTACAACTCCCAGAATCCTCTGAAAAACCCTGACTCGTCTGTCTTGAGAGTGAAAGGTCCAGGCCACAACTGCTAATAACGGCTAAGGCTCAATCCGCGACTGTAGATCATGGGAGTTGTAGTCCAGTCCATCCAGACATCCCCTCTACCCATTCTCAGTTCATAATATTCACTCTTGTAGATCCTATTCCATCTTTTTGAAGTCCAGGCCACAACTGCTAATGGGTCAAGCTGCAGTCCCTGACTGAGGATGATGGGCATTGTAGTCCAACCTATTCAGAACTTGATTTCCCCATCCTTGGTTCATAATATCCATTCGTATGGATGCAATACAATCATTTTCAGGCCCTAATGGCTCAGGATCCATCCTTAACTCTGGATCATGGGAGTTGTAGTCCAACCCATCTGGACATTCCCTTTACCCATCATTAGTTTGCAATAGCCATTCATATACATCCGTTTTCAGATCCAGGCCACTTTGGTAATGGGTCGAGCTTCATCCCTGAATGTGGATCATGGGTGTTGTAATCCATCCCATTCAGAAACTTCCTCTTCCCATCCTCAATTCATAATATCCATTTGTACGGATGCAATATCATAATTTTCAGGCTCAAATAGCTCAGGCTCAATTCCTGACTCTGGATCATGGGAGTTGTAGTCCAGCCCATCTGGACATTCTCTGTCCAGTTTGCAATACCCATTCATATAAATCCAAGGTCCAGGTCATCCTACTAATGGGCCAGCTCCATCCCTGACTGTGGATCATGGGAGCTGTAGTCCTACCCATCCAGAAATTCCATTTTCCCATCCTCAGTTCATAATATCCATTCATATGGCTGCAATATTATCATTTTTAGGTCCAGGCCATCTTACTCATGGCTCAGACTCAATCCCTGACTGTGGATGATGGGAGTTGTAGTCCAACCCATCCAAAAATTCCATTTTCCCATCCTCAGTTCACAATATCCTTTCCTATGGATGTAATACCATCATTTTCAGGGCCAGGCCATCCTACTCATGGCTCAGACTCAATCCCTGACTGTGGATGATGGGAGTTGTAGCCCAAACAATCCAGAAGCTCCATATTCCCATCCTCAGTTCATAATATCCATTCATATGGCTGCAATATTATAATTTTCAGGTCCAGGCCATCCTCAGTTCACAACATCCTTTCCTATGGATGTAATACCATCATTTTCAGGTCCAGGCCATCCTACTAATGGCTCAGACTCAATCCCTGACTGTGGATGATGGGAGTTGTAGTCCAACCCATCCAGAAGTTACTAGGACCATTTTAGTCCCTCTCATCCATCGGAAGATGCTTTGCTGCTTATAGAAAGCCTTTCAAATTACCCACGAGAAGCCCCAAAGGATAAAGCCAACGGTACTTACTCCAGAAATCCCTTACCGTCCTTCCGAAATCCGCCTTTATTTTCGGTCACATAGGAAGAGAGGTTCAAAGAAGGAAAACAAGGAGGCCGAGAAAGCTCTAGGTCTCCTCTGTGCCTTGTAGGCAATGTTTGCCTAGTGGTTGGAGCAGCGAGGGAGGCGCTCCCTGCCTTGCGCCTGAGTCACTTCCTCCTGCCTCGGTTTCCCCATCGTTCAAACCCACAATGCTAATAGTAATTAGACAATGTTGGTTAATGAGCTTATATTGCAAGGGAAATAAATGCTCGTCCTCCTCCGCTGACTCTTTGTAAACAATTTGGGAGGAAGAAACAACTCAGAGGAAGATGCAAACCTAAATGCCCGGCCTTAATAATAATAATAATAATAATAATAATAATAATAATAATAATACAACTATTATTATTGTTGAAGGCTTTCATGGCCGGAATCACTGGGTTGTTGTAGGGTTTTTTCGGGCTATATGGCCATGGTCTAGAGGCATTCTCTCCTGACGTTTCGCCTGCATCTATGGCAAGCATCCTCAGAGGTAGTGAGATCTGTTGGAACTAGGAAAAAAGGGGTTTATATATCTGTGGAAAGACCAGGGTGAGACAAAGGACTCTTGTCTGCTGGAGCTAGGTGTGAATGTTTCAACTGACCACCTTGATTAGCATATAATGGCCTGACAGTGCCTGGAGCAAACTTTTGTTGAGAGGTGATTAGATGTCCTTGTTTGTTTCCTCTCTGTTGTTGTGCTGTTGTAAAGAACCAACCTGGACACAGCATATTATTGGAGAACACAAAAATGCTGGACCACTCTCACAACCACCATGTCAGGCTACACAGAGAAGCCATTGAAATACACAAGCATGTGGACAATTTTAACAGAAAGGAGGAAACCAAGAAAATGAACAAAATCTGGCACCCAGTATTACAAAAAACTCTAAAATTACAACAAATTGGCCACCTTGATTAGAATTGAATGACCTTGCAGCCTCAAAGCCTGGCTGGTTGCTGCCTGGGGGGGGGATCTTTTGTTGGGAGGTGTTAGCTGGCCCTGATTGATTCTTGTCTGGAATTCCCCTCTTAATCTCTCTTGCCTGACTTGCCTGACTTCGCAAACCTATCTCTATTCAGAGCAGGTCTTTTCTCAAGTTAATGGCTCTTGTTTGACTTGGTTGACAAACCCATCTCTAAGAAGTTGCTTTCTCGTGTTGGACCAGGCATGGTCCAACTTGGATACTCCAGATGTTTTGGACTTCAATTCCCATCATTCCAAACAGTTCAATGAATATGGGAAGTGCATTCCAACCTCATCCGGAGGAAGTCCCAATCCCATATTAGATGGACCCCCATTGCCAACATGACTTATGTTCAAGGATGATGGGAACTGTAGTCCAACCTATTTTAGAGGAAGTCCCCTTCTCATGTTAGATGGACTCCAATTCCAGTCTAAACATGACATGTTCAAGGATGATTGGAACTGCAGTCCAACCTCTTCTAGTGGAAGTCTCCTTCTCATGTTAGATGTACTCCAATTCCAATCTAAACATGACTTATGTTCAAGGATGATGGGAACTGCAGTCCAACTTCTTCTAGAGGAAGTCTCATTCTCATGTTAGATGGACTCCAATTCCAATCTAAACATGACTTATGTTCAAGGATGATGGGAACTGCAGTCCAACCTCTTCTAGAGGAAATCTCATTCTCATGTTAGATGGACTCCTATTCCAATGAAAACATGACTTATGTTCAAGGATGATGGGAACTGAAGTCCAACTTCATCTAGAGGAAGTCTCATTCTCATGTTAGATGTACTCCAATTCCAATCTAAACATGACTTATGTTCAAGGATGATGGGAACTACAGTCCAACCTCTTCTAGAGGAAGTCTCCTTCTCATGTTAGATGTACTCCAATTCCAATCTAAACATGACTTATGTTCAAGGATGATGGGAACTGCAGTCCAACCTCTTCTAGAGGAAGTCTCATTCTCATGTTAGATGGACTCCAATTCCAATCTAAACATGACTTATGTTCAAGGATGATGGGAACTGCAGTCCAACCTCTTCTAGAGGAAATCTCATTCTCATGTTAGATGGACTCCTATTCCAATGAAAACATGACTTATGTTCAAGGATGATGGGAACTGAAGTCCAACTTCATCTAGAGGAAGTCTCATTCTCATGTTAGATGTACTCCAATTCCAATCTAAACATGACTTATGTTCAAGGATGATGGGAACTACAGTCCAACCTCTTCTAGAGGAAGTCTCCTTCTCATGTTAGATGTACTCCAATTCCAATCTAAACATGACTTATGTTCAAGGATGATGGGAACTGCAGTCCAACCTCTTCTAGAGGAAGTCTCATTCTCATGTTAGATGGACTCCAATTCCAATCTAAATATGACTTATGTTCAAGGATGATTGGAACTGCAGTCCAACCTCTTCTAGAGGAAGTCTTCTGATGTTAGATGGACTCCAATTCCAATCTAAACATGACTTATGTTCAAGGATGATTGGAACTGCAGTCCAACCTCTTCTAGAGGAAGTCTCCTTCTCATGTTAGATGGACTCCAATTCCAGTCTAAACATGACTTATGTTCAAGGATGATGGGAACTGCAGTCCAACTTCTAGAGGAAGTCTTCTGATGTTAGATGGACTCCAATTCCAATCTAAACATGACTTATGTTCAAGGATGATGGGAACTGCAGCCCAACCTCTTCTAGAGGAAGTCTCCTTCTGATGTTGATAGACTCCAATTCCAATCTAAACATGACTTATGTTCAAGGATGATTGGAACTGCAGTCCAACCTCTTCTAGAGGAAGTCTCCTTCTCATGTTAGATGGACTCCAATTCCAGTCTAAACATGACTTATGTTCAAGGATGATGGGAACTGCAGTCCAACCTCTTCTAGAGGAAGTCTCCTTCTCATGTTAGATGGACTCCAATTCCAATCTCAGCATGACATGTTCAAGGATGATGGGAACTGCAGTCCAGCCACTTCTGGAGGAAGCCTCATTCTCAGGTTTAATGGACTCTCATGTCTATCATCCCCCAGCATGACCTATGCTCAAGGATGATGGGAACTATATTCCAACCACTTCTGGAGGAAGTCCGATTTCCATGTTAGATGGACTTCCATTCCCAACATTACTTATCATCGGTATCTCTTTTTATGAAGTTAATGGCTCTTGGTTGATGTGGCAAACCTATTTCTGTTAGGTCTTTGGTTGGAAACCACCCTGAGTCCCCTCGGGGAGATAGGTGCAAGATATAAATAAAGTTTATTATTATTATTATTATTATTATTATTATTATTATTATTATTATTATGGCTCTTGATTGACTTAGCAAAGCCACCTCTTTGAGGTATAGGTCCTTCACAAAGTTAATGTCTCTTGGTTGACTTGGCAAAGCCATCTGCATGAGGAGTACGTCTTTTGTAGAGTTAATGGCTCTTGGTTGACTTGGCAAACCCAATATGGACTTCAAAGCCTAGATCCACTCCAGGTCCCTTCATTCCATCTTCAGTCCTCTTTCAGCTCAAACCTGGGCATGGACCTTTCCTTGGATTTTGGCCGTTCCTCCAGCCGGAGTCGGAGTGTGTTATGGATGAGGAACCTTTCTAGGAGGAGGGACCCCAAGAACCAGAAGGGACAATACTCGAGTGTCACCAGCCCCATGAAGTTGTACTTAAATGCGCTGTAGTCCCAAGGACATGCGTCAAAGAGGCGGAGGAAGTACCCGGTGGAGAACTCCCAGAGGTAGATGCAGATGGTGTAGAGGATGCAACGGGCAAACAAGCCGCAGTGGGGCCGCAAGAACCGGAAGAGGCCCTCCAAGGCGAAACTACACGTCCCGTAGATGAAGAAGGCCCAGATGCTGGTCACCCCTTGGAACTTCCAGTCCCGGTCCTCCACAAAGGCCCAGGTGGCCGTGAACATCACCTCTGAGAAGTAGCCGTGGATGGCGTAGATGTACCAACGGTACAAGGGGCTCAAGGGACGACCCATCATCCGCATGCAACCTGCAATGGAAAGGGAGAGCATAAGGTTCCTGAGAGAGAGATACGCTCCCCTTGGGATTGAAGCCCGCATATAGAATCATAGAGTTGGAAGAGACCCCAAGGGCCATCCAGTCCAACCCCCTACCATGCAGGAAAAGCAGTGGATGGATGGATGGATGGATGGATGGAGAGAGGGAGATGATCATTCATAGCATCCTAGAGATGGAAGAGATTTCAAGGGCTATCTAGTTCAACCCCATGCAGGAAAAACACCAGATGGGTGGATGACTAGATAGATAGATAGATAGATAGATAGATAGATAGATAGATAGATAGATAGATAGATAGATGGATGAATAGATAGAGGTAAATAGATACAGATAGAGAAGGAGATAGAGAAAGAGATAGATAGATAGATAGATAGATAGATAGATAGATAGATAGGGATGATAGGTAGATGGATAGAGAGATAGATACAGATAGATAGATGTATAGAGAAAGATTGATGAGTAGAGATGGATAGAGATAGAGATGATAGATAGATAGATAGATAGATAGATAGATAGATAGATAGATAGATGGATGGATGGATGGATGGATGGATGGATGGATGGATGGATGGATGGATGGATGGAGAGACAGACAGAGACATAGACAGATAGACAGACGGACAGATGGATGATGGATACAGATAGATAGAGAGATAGGATGGATGGATGGATGGATGGATGGATGGATGGATAGATAGATAGATAGATAGATAGATAGATAGATAGATAGATAGGAGATGGAAATGGCGATAGAGACAGGCAGACAGATAAATAGAGATAGAGACAGATAGACAGATGAATGGACAGATAGATAAAGATAGATAGATAGAGATTGAAAGATTGATAGATGATTGGATAGATGGATGGATAGATATAGATAGATAAAGACAGATATGTAGATGATAGAGAGAGACTGATGGATAGATAGAGAAAGGTAGATGGATAAGAGAGAGATGATGGATGGATGGATGGATGAATAGATAGATAGATAGATAGATAGATAGATAGATAGATAGATGGATGGATAGCTATTGATAACAGATGGAGAATAGATAGAGATAGATAGATAGAGACAGACAGACAGACAGACAGATGATAGAGATTGATGGAGAGAGAGAGATGGATAGATACACGGATGAATGGATAGATACATGGATGGATAGATAGATAGATAGATAGATAGATAGATAGATAGATAGATAGATAGATAGATAGATAGATGATAGATGGATAGATGGATAGATGGATGATGGATAGAAATAGATATAAGTCAGATAAATAGATGGATAGATAGATAGATAGATAGATAGATAGATAGATAGATAGATAGATAGATAGAGATAATTCAAGTATCCAAGAGTTGGAAGAGACAATAAAGGCTATCCAGTCCAACTCCCTTCTGCCAGAGAGAAAGACACAATCAAAGCCCTCCTGACAGATGGCCATTCGGCCTCTGCTTTTAAAATACCCTAAGGAAGAGACTCCATCGCATTCCCAGGTAGTCTTTATTTCAACAGAGTTGGAAAGGATCCCCAAAGGCTTTCCAGCCCGACCCCATCCTGCCAGACAGAAATACCCATCCGATCCCTCCCAACAGATGGGCATCCATCAGACTTGTGTATAAGATATATATGGAACATACATGAATATCAAGTTTAGACTTGGCTCCCATCTCCAAGATCCATGCATGTTTCATGTATACCTTATACATGTAAATTTTTAGGTATCTTGAGCCAATATTTGTAATGATTCTGTGCATGAAACCACATTTGAGCACGTTGAACCATCAGAAAACGAGGCCGTCACTGTCTCTGCTGCTCCAGTTCTCTCACGCAACCCTCCAAGCTATGTTCTGCTATAATTATATCCTGTGGCAGAGAGTTCCACGAGTTAATAAGACACTACTTGCAGCTAGGGCAAATTGAAACCTCGTTTCCCCATTCAAAATAGTAAAGCACTCACCCTGTACTGGACAGGTTTTATTTTTTCCTCCAAGGAATGGAGAAGCACCCAAAAGACGAAGCTCCAAGAGAGAGAAGACTGCCTAGTAGTTGGAGCAGCAGGAACCAAAGGGTTGTGTTTGCAATTCAAGGGGAGACTCATTCTTTCATTTCCAAATAGAGAGAGAGAGAAAGAGCAAGAAGGAGGGAGGTCCTGTCCCCAGTTTTGGGGGTGAGTCACTTCCTTCCATGCAGCCCCGGTTTGTCTCTCCTTCTCCCCAGGCGTTGTCCATAACCTTGCCTAACCTGAACATACCTTCTGAACATACCTTTGGGGGATAATTACAATGTCTGTTGCAAAAGGGATGGCTTCCACCCTATGGCACTTTATTACCTATATTTACCACTTATTTATGCATTGGGTACTCAATATCCGCGGGGGTTTGGTTCCAAGACACCAAGAAAAACTATGCAAGTCCCATTACAGGGACTGCCCGGGTTACAAACATCCGACTTGCAAATGACTCCTAGTTAAGAACGGGGCTGGATTGGATGGCCTTTGGGGGTCCCTGTCAAATCTGTGATACTATATCTATCTCATACACACACACGCACACACACACACACATATACAGGCCGTCTGACTTAACAAACGATTCCTATTTAAGAACAGGGCTGGACTGGATGGCCTTTGGGGGTCCCTGTCAAATCTGTGATACTATATCTATCTCATACACGCACACACACACACACACATATACAGGCCGTCTGACTTAACAAACGATTCCTATTTAAGAACAGGGCTGGACTGGATGGCCTTTGGGGGTCCCTGTCAAATCTGT